TGTCGACTAATATCTCTAACCGCTAGATAGCTCTGATACCTCCCGCCTGACTAAAGGTTATGTTAAGGCACAAACAGAAGTGTTTATCAATGCCACAAATATCTCTGGATCCACAGATGCAAGTCTGTTTATCAAAAGCACTATTCTGTTCAAGATGAACTGAGTGATCACACTTTCAGTAGGAGTCTATGCTCACTCCCATCTCACAGCAACTTCAACATTTTGCAAAAAGAGCTCGGAAGTGTCGTGTTTTTTTTTTTTTTTCCACCACCTTGCAGACGGAGTATCTGGAGTGATGCAACTTTGTTTGGCCGGAAGTAGCTGTTTTTTTATTGGAAAAAGTAGTACAAAATAATATAATAACTTACCCAAGCAAGACATTGTTATTGATGCATCAACTAAGCAGAGAGTACATCATAGAGAGTAGTTTGCATGGCACATTTCAAAGGTCAGTGTTTCTTTATACAGAGTTCACTGCTGTCTTGGAGGGAAACTTCTTCAAGATTCATGTTACACTGGTTTCCTCCAAACTTTAGTACTTTGGGTCAGTTGTTATGGCTGAAAGGTCTCTATTGTGATTTAAGAGTAGTGAGTAGGTTAACAGTAACATTTTATTCTAGAGTTATTATTCTTTTAGTTTTAGAGAGTAGAGTATCTTGAACTAAAAAATGAAGGTGTAACTGCTTGTGATCTAAATCCATTTTCTATGTTCTATCAGAATATAGTGCCTACCCCAGGAACATGCACAGGCATACACACACCAATTTCCCAAAGCTTAAAACAACGATGGGCAAAATTGAGGGAGAGTAAATATTTAAACAAAAAAATGTGAATGATAACTCAGTTATTTAAGAATGCTTTATTAGACGCTCAGGAAAACACAATTCTGTAGTCACAGAGGAAGGCTTAATCCTGATTTAAGAAGGCAAGTGAAGAAAACAGTATAAAAATTACAAATGGGGACGCTGATAGCAATTAATACCGATCTGCAGTTAGGAAATGCAGACACTTGATAAAAGAAGCTTATGGTCGATAGGGTGTAAGGGCTTCTTAAAATATATTGAGAACAAACAATGTCCTAACCATGGGATAGGTCTAGACAAGGATGATAAAATTAACAATCAGAAAAAGCAGAAATATTCAACAAATATTTCTTCTGTATTCAGAAAGAAACAAGAGAATCATATCTTAGTGATAATGAAATACTTTCTATTCCAGCAATAACTAAGAGGATGTTAAGCAGCAACTATTAAACCTTTGAATCTGTGGGGCTAGATAACTTGTGCCCAAGCGTATTAAAAGAATTGGATGATGAGCTGTCTGGACCATTGCAGTTGATTTTTAACAAACATTGCAACACTGGGGAAGTTCCAGAGGTCTGGAAAAAAGCCAATGCCCCACTATTTAAAAAGGGATAAAGGGGATGATGTGACAATCTATAGACCAGTTAGTCTGAGAACGATCCCAGGTAAAATCGTGAAAAGGCCAATATGGAATGCAAATAGTAAATAATTAAAAGATGTAGCATAATTTATGCCAATCAAGATGGTTTCATGGAAAATAGGTCTTGTCAAACAAATTTATTGTTGGTTCTTGAGATCACAGGCTTGGCTGCTAAAGGTAACTGTTGACATAATAGACTTTTGTAAGGCATTTGACTTAGTTCTGCATGAGATTCTGATTAAAAAAAAAACACCGTTCAAAATCAATGTAGTCACTAGTAAATGGATATTGCTAGATTACAAAAAGCAATTGTAAATGGGGAATAGTCATCCAATGGAGGTGTTTTTAGTGCAGTCCCCAGGGACCTGTTCTCAGCTCAATGCTGTTCAAGATCTTTATCAATTATCTGATAAAACTTGCGAATCACACATAAGTTTGTGGAGTGGTAATCATTGAGACAGGTCAGTTATATAGATCAACCTGGATTGCTTGGTAAAATGGGCTTATTTGGACATGGGTTTTAATACAGGCAGGTTCTATATTTAGGAACAAAGAATGTAAGTCACACAAGATGAGGAACTGCATCCTGGAAAGCAGCAACGGAAAAGGACTTGGAGTCATTGTGGATAAAGAGTTGAATATGAGCTCCCAGTATGATGTGTAGCTCAGAGGATGAACACAATCCCTGAATGAGATGGCATTACCTGTATATGGTATCAGTGAGACCCTTACTGGAATACTGTGTCCAGTTCCAGTGTCCATACTCCAAAAGGATTTTAACAAATTGGAAAGAGATCAACAAAGAACTACAATAATGATCTGAGGTCTGGAAAACATGCTCTATCGTGAGAGACTTAAGCTCAATCTCAATATAGTTTATCCAAAAAAAGACTGAGGTGACTCAATCATGGCCTACAAGTACCTACATGGAGAAGAGATTTCTAATAGTAGACAGCTCTTTAATCTAGTTGAAAAAGGCATCCAGTAGTTGGAAGCTGGAGATAGAGAAATTCAGACTAGAAATAAGACACATTGTTGTCACTGAGGGTCATCAACCATTGGAACAACTTACATCGGAATGCAGTGGATTCTCCATCACTCAGTCTTAGAATTAAGTTTCTAGAAGATATGGCATATCTCAAACAGAAACTCTGGGCTTAATGCAGAAATTGAGCGGTTCCTTGGCGTGTGTTATGCAGAAGGACAGGCTCTAGATGATCATAATGGTCCCTTCCAGTCTTAAACTCTATAGAGGTAAGAGTCTTGACTTTCTTGCTTCTGTGAATGTTCCCATATGATTTGATTTATTTGTGTTACCGCAAAATCCAGAGGCCTCAATCAGGATCAGGGTCTCCCTGTGCTGGGTGCTGTACAAACATAAAATGAAACGCTACCAAAGGGCGGCTGGATAAGCCAGCATCGGCCAGTGCTCCCTTGAGCACTGGGTATCTGGAAGTGGAAAGAAGGCAAAGAGGATACCAGCAAAGCCAGCACCAATGACTTTGATACCAACCTATCAATGTGGGTGAAGTTCCCAGTGCCAAAAACGCTGGTGCCGAAGCCCATCCCCCTCCCCCAGCCATACTGGCACTCCAGGCAGCAAAGCTGGCACCTGTGCCACATAAAGGTGACACTGAATCACTGAGCCAGACAGAGCTGCAGCATAGCTCCAAACATGAAGGAAAGTCTCAAAAAGAAGACATCAAACATCACTTCTCCAAGGATAGAGCCTCCACGTCCTCGATCAGAACTGGAGAGCCACAGGAGTGAGAAACCTGACACTTTCTAAAGGTCAGGCCATCTCTTCACGGAGGATGTTGAAATGGGTAACACAATGTATCTTGCTATGTTATCAGCTGGCTGATCTAGCTCTCTCTCATCCAACATTAGCAGAGTGAGCCTTAGCGCTCAAGTGGCGTCCTCTGCCTGCTTCAGGAATGTGCCTAGATCAGAAATCTGCCAAGCTGCGACCCACTGACATTTGGCAAGCATTACACTTGGGGCTGAGCAGCCACGTCCAATGCCAAGTTTGGGAGAGCAGTACTACAGTTGTTGAGCTGATGCAGATGGCACTCCTCATCCCAGGACCCATTCTCCATCCCCTCTTTCAGAATCCTCAGCAACATTGACTTGCAATGGTGAGGGAATTGAGGCCTGGTCTACACCTAAAACAAATCCACCTGCTACACCTGCCGGTTACTGTAGGGTGAGCAACCATTTTTTCCTGATAATTCTACTGTAAAGAACAAGCAGGAACAGAGAGAGAGACAACCTTTCATACCTTCTTTATCTATCATCAAGCAGCAAAAACACTTGATCCTAATTTACAAACAAACCGTTGCAGGTTGCCTTTAAGCCTCCCAAGAGCCAGTGAGGCTCTTTTCTGTCATCCATTTGGTTACTATTGACACTCTATTAATGATCTCTGGACAAAATCGATTTTCCCCTGCTTTTAGTACCTATATAATCAAATTGCCTCATTAGCAAAATGTAGGCATGTGTTGGCTAGATGGCTGAATAGAAGAGAGGAGGATATTAGAGCAGGCCAGTGACCACTGCATCCTATTTCAGATTTCCCATAATCAGGGTTTAAAGTGCCGTGTCTGCCTCCACCTTACTTAATCGAACAGTGTTAAGGTTCAGTTACCTTGTTAAATGTACATGTTATCGCTTCATTTGGAGCTGAGGAAGGGAACGGTAGCAGGCAGAGTTTAAAAAACAAAAACAAAAAAACCCACCACCACCAAAACTTGACAGCGGGCGTGACCTGGGTAACAAGGGGCTTGCTTTCCCAGGGTGAATGTGAGAAGTTGTTTTACAGCACCAGTTTCCAAGGCGAGCAGTGAAACATTGCTGTGAGATGGCATAGAGAAGGTAGAAGGCAGGGTGTTTACTTTTATGGAGAGAGTCCTAACCCGTCCAGAGGCTGTTTGGCACACCCCTTCGATGTTAACAGACAATGATATCCCGGCTTCAGAAAGGATGGCTCAAAACCGCCAGAAAAGTTAGCTCTAGGTTTTTAAGATGGAAGTCAATCTTCGACTCCAGTAGGTCCAACCCCCATTCAGATCTAGGCAGCTTTCCCTAGGTGGGCTCTACTCCCTGGGAGACTGGCATATTTGCAAACTGTATTTAAATAGCTAACATGTATTGGAGCATAAGCTTTCCTGGGTGAATACCCACTTCGGCAGACGCAGATCCAGACTACCCTCTGATACTTGTATTTAAATAGAATTCCTCGGGGTCCGTGTTTTTCCATCCTTCTCCTTTCCCCCCTCTTCTGTCAGTGAAATGAGTCCCAGCGGCGAGGGTGTGACTGAGCCGACAAAGCGGGCACTCCCCAGGAAGTCCGGCTCAGAGAGCGTGGTGTGCCTTAGCCAGCCGGGGCCAGTCCTTCCTTCAGCTTGGGCGAGCCCCAGCGCTTGGAACGTGGCTGCGGCGGGGAGAACTCGCCGGGCTCGCGTTCCTGGGGCGGTGATAACCTCCAGGGGGCGCCCTAGAGACCCCCGCCTGCGTCTCCCGGCCCCGCGGCGCCAGGGCTCAGTCCGTGGGTTTGAATTCCATCCAGGCACCAGCCTGCAGCGGGCGAGCGAGTGGCCGGCCACGCTCGCCGGCGAGAGGGGAGCGGCCAGTTCGCGCGCAGCTGCCGGCGCGGGAGCAGCCCCGGCCTTTGAGAAACTTTCTTGGCCGATCGGTGGCGAGCCCCAAAGCGGGCTGGGCAGGAGCTCGGAGCCTGGCTGGCGAGCCCCGGAGAGCCCGCCTGCAGCGCGTGGGGCGGGCGGAGGAAACACCCTCCCCAGGACAGGTGGGTGCTGTGCGGGGCGGACCCCCGGGCAGGGGAGAAGTACCCCCCCCCCGTCACTCACTCCCCGGGACTTTTCCATGCGTCCCCCCCACACCCCACCCGGCCCCGCGGGCATCGCTCTCCAAGCCGCCAGGGTGCTGGGGAATTGCAGAGACCGGGCAGGGGAGAGGAGCCTGCAGATGCACTGCGCGTGGGGTCGGGAGAGTGTGTGTGTCTGTGGGAGGGAGAGAGTGTGTGTCTCTTTGTGTGTGTCTGAGTGTGTGTCTCTGTCAGAGTGTGTCTGTCTGTCTGTCTGTCAGAGAGTGTGTGTCTGTGTCTGTTTGTCTGTCAGAGAGTGTGTGTGTGTCTGTCTGTCTGTCTGTCTGTCAGAGAGAGAGAGGCTGGATCCAAGAATCCTGATGCTATTTGGCCCCCAGCCCTCAAATTGTGCTATTACAATAGAGAACAAGTGCAGCCTCCCCTACTGCCCCACCGCAACCTGGATCCAGCCCCCCCCCCCCCAATGCCTAGACAACAATCGAAGGTGCTCCTCCTGCTCAAAAAATATTCTGGACTCTGGCACATCCTAGTAGGAGTGTCCCGAAAACCAAATCTGGCTCCTGGATCCTGCCAGATCCACCCAAGTTTTAGTCCTCTCCTTCTCAAGTCCATGTCATGAATAGAGCAGCAGAAACAGTCTAGACTCGGATGCTTCCCGGTGTGTAAGTGCCTCAAAAACTCTGGCCCTTTGGATCCAGCTGGACTGGTATTTTTTTGGCCCCAGACTCAAACCGAGCTATATGTCAGAGGCAGGGATTTTCTGGTCAAGTAGTAGCGGCACCTTGTTTGTTTTAACAATACAACTTGGGAGCCTGGAGCCAAAAATGCAAACTCCCGCAGAGTCCAGGTGCTGAATGTGTCTGTGATGCTGTTGAGCAGGGACGTATTGGGGTTTGGGATTTCGCGGTGGAAATGGAGTAGCTGCACTTCTTGTCTATTTAGCTGGTTTAAGTTTTGGGTTTGGGATAAAAAGCTCGCTGTCTCCAGAAAGACCCTGGTGCCAAACGCAATCGCTTTTCAGTGGGGCTGTCAGTTTGTAACAAGATCTGGTGAACTAGGATCTGCTGAGTTTTTTTCTTCTGTATTAAGATCAGTAGAATTTGGGGGCTTGGGGTTGAAAATTGGCCAAACCCAATAGGATCTAGGAGCTAGTTATGTATTTTCCCAGTTCTGTTGGGCTGAGATGCAGCCAGATCCTGATTTTTCCTGAGAAATAGGACGGCTAGATTTGTCTTCTGCTTAGACTGTACAAGGTGGGCTTGTGGACCAAAGCCTGCCAAGATCCAACTGCCAGATCCAGGATTTTGTGCAACTTAAGGCACTAGAATGGGTTCAAGTTGGGAACTGTCTGACAGGGTAGGAGCAGCTGCCCTTGTTCTCTGTTCGCCATGGAATTTGGGGGCAGAGGGTGGAAGTTGGACAGACTCAGGAGGTTCCATGCACTGGATCTGAGGTTTTGCCGCACTCATGTGCCAGCACCAGAATCCACACTCTTGTGGTGAAGTAGGAGTACCTCGACTTCTCTATATGGGTGTTGGAATTGGGGCTCTTGGGGCCAAAATTTGGCTAGTTCCAGCAGGATCCTGGTAGATACAGCTTTTACTTTCATCCCTCTGAGGGATACTGGTAGAGTTCGCGTGCTGGCTTCAGCCATGGCATGGGTGTTGAATCTGAATCTCTCCCTGTTCCCTTTGGGGTGTTAGTAATACAGTCAGGCATGCTCTTCCATTGACAGCCTTTGAACACTGGGGGAAAGGCAAACAACTAAGGTGACCAGACAGCAAATGTGAAAAATCGGGACAGGGGGTTGGGGGTAATAGGAGCCTGTATAAGAAAAAGACCCAAAAATTGGGACTGTCCCTATAAAATTGGGACATCTGGTCACCCTACAAACAACTGTCCACTCCCCCTTTTCACCTAAATCCCCAACTGCAAGACTGGGACAATTCTTTGTCATCAGAATTCCTAGATGTCCACAACTTTTGATTTCCCCCCCCCCCGCCGATTTCTCATGAGTTTGGAGTCTAAGATCTTCATCCTCTTTGTTCCCCCAGCCCTCTGACTTCTCACAGCCACTCAGTGCTCAAACTCTCAGCTTTTGTTCCCCCATCACCCTCAGACTTCTAGTCCTTAATTTTGTTCCCCTCAAACCCAGCACTGCTGCTGACTCCTTGAATGTACGTGCTCTTAGTCAACTGGAAACAGTGGTTTCCCCAGGAGTATCAGATACCAGTAAACGTGCATATAGCATTTAACGCTGGTGAGTTTCAGTTGTTTAACTTTGAAATCAAGGGATGTGACTAAATAAACAATGTAACCAGAAATAAATGAGGTAGTTCATTTTTCCTCAGTCATATTTACAGTAGGCTCAATGCTGTCCAGCGTTTCAACAATGTCTTTAACTGCTGAAAGTAGAGAGCTCTGAGCTTCGGTACATGGAAATGTTGTTAGTGAAGCTGTCACTAGAGGTGGCCAGTAACTCAGCAAGTGGGAGAGGATCATGACTGGGTGAGATCCAAGTTATGGTGGTTCTGAATGGACCATACTTCATGCTTTCTGAATCATCTGAAGTTATCAGCAAAAGGGCCACAGCTTCCTTTGTTCATCCCTCCTGGTCTGGTGTAAGGAAAAGAGGGTGTTTATAATGGGCATCCAATGTGCTGGATGGTGGAGGGTGTGATTCCAAGGCACTGAGAAGCCAGGAGATGGGTGGGATTCCTTCAGCCCATCCTTTCTGTTAGGAGAAAGACCCCATCAGCGGCAGTGAAACACAGGCTGTGGCACATGCAGAGGCTGATCTCCTGCAAGGTACCTTTCAAATATCACACTATAAAGCACCATAGTTTCTCTAATGCTAGTTTTGAGCACTGTGCGGTACAAACACTGGTATAAGCTACGTGTGCAATGTGCCTCTGTCTTATTACCAACCTAAAAGCACCATGATTTTGAAGAGGCTGCTTGACAGAGTCTTTCTGGTGTGTCTGTATGTGGCACAAAGAGAAAACAGAAGGGGTTAACTTTAAAAGGTTAGCGTGAGTCATTTGGGTAAAGAGTAGTTAAGGCAACTTTTATTAACTATTTAAACCAAAATTATTATTCCAAGCAGATGGTCATCAATTAGGTAACTCTGTCTTTGAGCGTATTTGTTTTCAGGCTTTTAAGTCCCAGCCTTGTGGTAATTGAAGAACTGTAGTAATTGACAAATTCAACTTCCTGTATGCAATAGAGACATGCAGTTATAGAGAGGGCACAGTCCTCTCTGTTTTGCCTTTAAAATGGAAAACTACAAGATCAGAGTGTCACAGCCGCCTACAAAAAGATTAGGTAGAATGACAAGCAGGGATATGGGAAATCCTCAAATTGGATTAGATTTGTGGAAGAATTCACTTATATTGAATCTGTTTTAAAAAAAAAAAAAAGAAACCCAGTACAAATGTGATTAAATATTCAAAGTATATGAATAATATGAAAATAAAAGAGAACCTTTCTGATGTGGCAAGTAGCTCAAACTGTAAATTAACAATCACAGTTTGTAACCCCCCCCAAATTTATATATAAAACAATGGCTACTTGCGTGCACACAGGTGTATAGAAAATAAAAACTACATATGCCAGGCAGGATGAGTTCATGGAAAGCAGGTGGGCAGTTTTTCATCCCTTTCAGTGGGATGGACTTGTAATCTACATATAAATATCAAGCCCCCAGTTCCAAGAAAAGATGAAGGGAACATACCTTCCTGCTTTTGATGAAAGGCATTAGAACCCTGCAGCATAGGTGCTGGGGTGCTGCAGTACCCCAGGGCTTGAAAAGTAATAACAACTTAAATACATGGTTTCCATCTTCAGCACCCCCCTATAAAAATTGTTCCAGCACCTCTGCCCTGCAGGAGATTTCTGGACTGTATCAAACTGTCAGAATGTGTGGGAAGGGAAGTATAGATCCAAAATGAGTATTTTTGCCAAAACTTCTGTATTTGCATCTTTTGTTGCTGATATTGTAATAGTTTTCCATAACAGCCACTGCTTGCTCCCACATTTTAATATAATCAGCTTTTAACAACTATTCTTCTTATTGTTTAGTCTAATCTCTTGTAATGAGGTTCAGGTTGAGCCCTATGATTAAATCCTGATAAAAACAAGCAGAGAAAAAATGCAGCCAAATATGAGAGCTTTGGGGAGAGTTTTGTTTTGGATTTTCACCCTCTCCAACCCACTGACAGCTTCCAGAAGAACCCATTCGTTTCGTGCAGTCCAAGAATCTTTGCTGTTGGGCCTAGCGTCTTTTTCATCCGTTTTTATGGGGTCGGGAACAGAAATAGAATAGAAGAGGAATAGAAGAGAAAACTGTAGAACTGCTCAATCACTTATAACAAGTTCAACCTATGGACTTGGAAAATATGAGTGAACAATAAGGGTTGTGACTGATGACTCCATAGAAGATAACCTGATGAGCAATAGACAGCATGAATTCTATAAAAAACAAATTATAAAGACACCCTGGAAGAGCACTCTGATATGATTACAAATTTCGTAGACGAGGGAATTTGGTGGACGTGATATTTAATAAAGGCCTTTTATAGTCACGTGGGAATTGAAAAGTTAAAAAAAATTTGTTTAGATAAACATACTGTGATGAGATTATAAAATAGGCTGCTGAGCCACAAACAGAATGATCTCGAGAATTTAGAGAAATGGGCAAACAGAATTGTGATTTAATTAGGTTGTTATAAAGACTGACTTGGGAACTACTGTCACTAGGCAAAAGACTGAGGGCTTGGCTACACTTGTGAGTTAGAGCACATTAAAGGAGCCCCGGGCGCACTAGCTCACTCCCCGTCCACACTGGCAAGGCACGTAGAGCGCTCTGACTCCGCGGCTACAGCACTGCTGGTACTCCACCTCGGCAAGAGGAATAACATTTGCCACGCCTTGGCTACAACGCCCGGGCGTCAGTGCGAACG